TGTGGCGCACAACAGCGACCGGCGGCAGAAACGAACGCCTTGGGGTCCAGGGACCCCTCTGGAAACAGCCCAGCCTGTAACGGGCTGGGTGGGCGTCTGCGCGCTGCGACGGCAAAGAGAGCGATCGAGGAGAACTTCAGCTGTATAAATAGGCTACTGATGGAATTTAGTTAGAAATGGCAAATCTTAGTATTACATTAATTTGGTCTACTACTTTGGAAAAATATTATGTACTAAATAATTTCTGATACCTGATCTGGTAACCTCAGCTTGCCTTAAACGACTCATGTAAGCAACTTAACCGCTTAGCAGAATGTTTCTAACCTGTGTTTTGCAATAACTTCAGGTGGCACATAACAAGTGGCTGTTTGCCGTTACCTATCTCTTTAATGTGCTGCTATATACAAACTGTGTGTTCACTTGGTCATTTTATTGATCCTCTTATCCTTGAAGATAAACAGGTTATGAATATTACACGTAAAGCAAAACCATTGCTAGCAGTCTTTGATAAAACTCTGGATGTCAGATACCAAGTTCGATTTGCAGATCAACCGACTGAGCATCAGCTACCCTCGACCAGCCGTTCTTCCAATTAATGCAGCAAGTTGCTAACTTTTCGGCTGCTTTGTTTCTCGACAGCAGCCAAGTGTATCTATGCCCCAGCTCTTTCATGAGATTTCTGCTGGTTTAGTTCATTCTTTCCCGATGGCCCAGAGGGTGTAACGTTGGCACACACACACAGATCGATTGAAAAACAAAAATACTCTTTCTTTTTTTTTAAGTAATAGTATGAATCTTTTGAAATGTAGGTATCTGTGCAATTGAACTATAGATGATTGAAAATGTTAGCGTGGCTTTACTAGTATCAGAAAAGAAGCCGGTTGAACCCCAGGACCAGAACGCTGTAACGGCAGCATTTGCTTTAGCGTGTTTGGTGCTCGTTAGGCTCGCGTATGCGCAGGGGACGCTGGGGCAGCCGGCTCCCGGCTCCCTGCGTCGGCAGCGGCGCGGTGTTAAATAATTCAAACGCCATTGTTACTCACATGAAAACCGGAAAGGTCTCCCCCCGAGCCCGCACTGTCTCACACGCTCGCCGTAGAACAGCCCGTACTGGATTTTGCCGATAAATTTCTCCAGCTCCTGGCCGGTGGCGTTGACGAGCAGGGCTCCCGTCTTGCAGAGTATCGTCCCCTTAACCCACAGCTGCGTGCCGACGGCTGCCGCGGTCCCCAGCGCGCAGGCAAAGCTCAGCACCCCGGCTATGCAAAAGATGATTTTCTTCTGCTGGGCTGGCATGGTGGCACGCACAGTCCTCCGAGCGACGCCGCTTTC